GTCTCAGTATGGTTCTGCTCTGCTTTTTGACAAGGCTATGTTTTGAGAAATCTGTAGATAGGAGATTTTCTGTGTTGTTAGCATGATAAAGTACATTCACAGAACATCACCTGTGCTATGTTTAGCCACCTCTGGGCAAGGTGCTCAGATGTGTGTGGTTCTATGTCACTACCTAGATCTTTGAGGCAGACAGCAGCAAAGCTAAAATGCTAACCAAGGCCTGTCTTCAGGAAGCAACAGCTTGTGAGGGGCAGAGAGCTGGGCCCAAGGTGTGTGAAACACGTGGTCACCCGCATGGCAGGCTTTTCTATGCCCACATGCCTATCTTATGCGCATGGTCAATTTTCAAGTTGAAAGTTTGTTTTGGGTGCTTCCCTCACGTGTTCTTTTGACTTTTTGCTTCCCAATTCCTCGAGGACAGTGCCAGGCCTGATGGGAAAATAAAATCCGCACTGCTTGCGGCTTTGAGATTTTGCTGTAAGCTGGCATGTGGACAACCACCGAAAACGATAAATGCCGCTTCCATGCGGAACTGTCCAGGGCCACGCGAGACAAGCTAGGGCTGGTAGTGTGGAGCCAGAGCAGACCCACGTATATGGTCCTGCGGCAGAACGCTGGCTGAGAATGTCTCTGGGGTTCCCTGTAGATTTCCAGCCGCTTCATTTGACTCTGATACCTCTGCTCTGTCGGCCATCAGAAATCACTCCAGACTGCCTTAAATCAAAGTGGACACTTCCCCCTTTCCTCTCCCCCACGTAAATGCCTTGCTCTGTATGGAATGACTTGGGTCAGCAGAAGTACATTGAGAAAGCATAGTGTTTTTCCTCTGTTCCAGTACAGAGCCGAAAGTAGTCGATCTCTGTGTATATAAGCCTCTGCGTAGGCCATGGCGCTTTGTGCACAAACGGGGAAGTGGTGACGCCCTCAGGAATGAGTTTCGTTCGTTCTTTAAATCTGGCAACAATGCTATCACTTCCAGGGGGTGGTGGGATGTGAAACCCATGGTCACCCCACCCGTGTGGCAGGTTTTTCGGTGTTCACAAGTTCATCTTGGGTGTGCGGTCAATTTACAAGTTAAGAGTTTGTCAGGGCGTTGGTGGCGCACGCCTTTAATCCCAGCACTGGGGAGGCAGAGGCAGGCGGATCTCTGTGAGTTCGAGGCCAGCCTGGTCTACAGAGCGAGTTCCAGGACAGCCTCCAAAACAATACAGAGAAACCATGTGTTGAAAAACCAAAAAAAAAAAAAAAAAAAAAAAAAGTTTGAATCGGCGGCTTTACTTGTGTTTCTCTGACTTTGTGTTCCTCATCCCTTTGTCTCATTTTCTCTTACCCATGTTTCTCCATAGAATGTTTGGCTGAGGGAAGAACAGGTTACTTTCTGGGACGTGACCACATTACCCCCTCCCAAATTAGACACTGAGCTCCCCCAGGGCAGCTGTTGTGTCTGATGGCAATCTGGGCTATAGAAGCATAATGAATGAATGATGCTAACCCAGGCTATAGTAGCTTAATGCATGAATGATGCTAACCCGTGCTATAGAAGCATAATGAATAAATGCCACTCTTGGAATGATGCTGAAGTGTCCCAGACTGGACTCACTAGGACAGCACAGACAGACTAAATACTTCCATCATTGGTGGCAGGCTGAGTAGCCGAGGCCAGCACCCTGGGCCAGGAATGTGGGTACCATTAGGAAGTGCTACGGGTGTTCTGTGGGGGACAGGGAACAGTCTCACAGGGTATGCAGACTCTGTCACATTCTCCACGCCTCCTGGGAGTCAGAGGGAGTGCCGAAGAGTGTCACGTGAGGGTGTGGGGAGTCTCAAAGGAGGAAAAAGCTGGAGGAAAGTAAGAGACTTCAGATGTCTGGAGGCGTTAGCAATCGGGTAATGCATCTGGCTCCTTGTGTAGACCAGGCTGGGACTAGCATCCGTAGCCCAGGGTAGGGCAGGAGGAAGAGGTGCACAGGTACCACAGCCAAAGGAAGCCATAGGGGTTTTTGTTTCTAGCCCCTCCCCTGGGCCATGAGGAGGAGGCGCCCATTCTTAAAGGGTTTGCCAGATTCCAGGTAAAGGAAGCCCCAGGTGAGCCTTTGGCCAGGTGCCTGTTAGGACACTTAATATTCCCCTGGAAACAGTTCCTTGGAATTTCCCAGGAGCCTTTGGGTAACCATATAGCCCATGGGTGTGGAAGCCAACCCCCACCCCCACACTGAGGAGGCCTGAAGTCTTGAAACTGGAATTGCAATATCATTGCCTGGAATGGACTGGAGATGTCCTGTGCTGTTGATGGTCAGGGGCCAGGAGCCTCCTACCCTTCTGGCTTCACTATCAGATTTTCTGACGAGGACTTTCAGGAGTTTCCTATAAGAATTCAGGGGCCAGGAGGGCCGTTCAGTAAAGTTGGCACGGGGCCCTGTGGACAGCCTCTGTGATACCAGATAGATTATGTTCCCCCAGAGTGCAGTCTCCACCCCTTCCCAGGGCCCCCTCTGCTGGTCTAACATTAAATGAACAACACCCGGCTCTCAGCCCTCCTCTTCCCAAGCTCCTGGCTCCACCTCTGGGGACGAGAGGCCTAAAAAGCTTTTCCCACCTCCAGCCAGGCATGCTGTGGAGGTGTGAAGAGCAGACTTTGGGCAGTGCGGGCTGGAAGGCCCTGGTCTCCCTTAGTGCAGTGTCTAGGAGCGGGAGCGGGGAAGACAAGGGGGTTCCCTGGTAGATACCGGAACCAGGACGGGCAGAAGGGTGGCTCGGATGAGCAGAGGAACCACGGAATCTAGCCAAAGCCAACGGCTGACACTACTGCCCCCTCCTGCCCCACCCATGGCTTGTGGACATCGCTGCCACGCCCGTGGCTGAAACCACCACTCAGAAGGCCGCCCCCAAGCTGGGGTGAGGGAGGAAGGGTGCCGCAGTGACAACCCAGTGACTCCGCTGATTACAATGGCAGACGGGTAGTAAGGGCAGGAGTTGACACTGGGGGCTAGCTGATGCCAGTTTGTACCGTTGGGGGCCCAGCTCAGTGTCACAAGGCACCGCATCTTTCCAGCCAGTTAGCAGACCTCCAGAGAGGTGTCCGCACCTGCTGAAGACAGAAGGCCAAGGAAGACAGCAGTGGGATCTACAGCTCTACAGCTCCATCCCAGCTGTATCCCGCCTGAGAACACCTTCCCTCTGTGACACCCTGCCCAACAGTCCCAGCACCAGGGTCCCTTCCCTCCTGCAGTCCTCCCAGCCCCTGACAAAGCAGAGTCCCACAGGCTTCAGTGGCGGGCCCTCGGGCCACACTTGAAAAACAAGGGCTAAGCGGGGCTTCAGGTGTCCTAGTACAATGTATGCGGTGTTGCTCTCTACAGAAGGTCACAGAAGGAAACAAAACAGGCCCATCTGTGGCCCCCGGAGAGAGAGGGAACCACGTCTGATGAGTGCTGAAGAGGATACACACAGGTGATTGTGAGCATCCCAGGGGTGGGGGTAGGGGTGGGGGACATGCACACTTCCTTGATGACGTTGACAAGGTCTGTTTGAGCTGGAATCCAGAGCAGGGGACAGACATGGGAAGCTGCATGTGAGGAGAGGCTGGTGACCAGAGCTCTATGCTCTTGTCAGTTCTCAAGAGGGCAGGCTCGGTAGCTGCTTTCCTCACCAGCACACGACGTTACCTGTGACCTCCACTTTCATGTGGTCAAGCCTCCCGACCCTTTGTCAGGTCCTGAAGCTAGCGTTCAGGAAGGCCCCTGTGTACCAGACTCTCGGACACTTCCCTACTCCTCTGGCAGCCGTGATCTGACTGTCTAGTACCTGAGCTTGACTGCTTGGTGCTCTCAGATAAGACCATTGTAGAGCATCGTCAGAAAGGGACAGTAGGAAGGAGTAGGTCCCCAAGCCTGTGCTTGGCTCCATGGTAGTACGGAAGCCTGGCCCATGCACACAGACATGAGAAGGAGACAGACCCGATGAGCCTTGGCGTTTTAGCTTCCCCAGTAAAAACCAATTTTTATATTTATTTATTTATTGGTTGTTCAAGACAGGGTTTCCCTGTGTAGCTTTGGAGGCTGTCCTGGCATTTGCTCTGTAGACCAGGCTGGTCTTGAACTCACAGAGATCAGCCTGCCTCTGCCTCCTGAGTGCTGGGATTAAAGGCGTGAGCCACCAACACCTTGCTGGATGCATCCAATTTTTTGAAAAATATATATTTTTATTATGTGTACAGGAGGCCAGGAGAGGGTGTCAGAAGCTGGGGTTAGAGGCATGGGTGCTGGGTTCCAAACTTGGTCCTCTTAAAGAACCAGCATGTGCTGTTAACCCCTGAGTCATCTTTCCAGCCCGGAAACTACTTTTCTTTTTTTAAGGACAAGGTATCAATATGATGCCCAGGTTGGTCTCAAATTAATGAATTCAAGTGATACTTTTGTCTCGGTCTCTCATGTACTGAGACCACAGGTAAATAACCAGGTGCCAACCCAAATACCACTTCCGGTCCTTGAATACCAGATGACAATGGAGAATCTTCCTTCATGCATGGAGGCGTGAAGATGCCATGCACTCATGGACCTTACATCGGTTTTCTTCCCCGGGGACCCCCTGACTCCCGGAAAGATGGGGCCATTCTTGATGAGTTCTAGGAAGCAGGGGAATGCACACGTATTCATGTCACCACCACCGGACCCTGGTGGAACCCATCAGGGGCCCACTTCTGAGACAGCCAGAAGCAGACAGCCACTGAGCATGTGTGGTCCCCTCCCTACTCAGCACTGCTCCTTTAAAGGGATTCTGCTCCTGTGGCGCTCATTCCTTCGCGCTTCATCAGACATGGAGCAGTCAGCCCCCAAAGAGCAGCTCCAGGCTTGATCTATGCTGGGCGAGAGAAGGGGCAGCAGGTGGACCAAGCCGCAGTGCTAAGGGTGGAGCAGAGCTGGAAGTCTGGTGACAAGTTCCGGAGCGTCCCATGCTCTTAACTTCCCCGAGAGCCTGAGCAGGCACCACCTTGCCTTACCATGGGCTCTCCTTCAGGGCACACAGGCCCACCAGGCTTAACTCAGGGTCCCAGCTTTCTGGCCAGCACTGCCCTACACAGCCATTGGAACAGCACTCAGAAGGTGTCCACAAGAGCCCGGCTTCTGTCTGGGAGCCCTACGGTAAGTGTGGGGAGCATGTGTGTGCACAGGGACTCCCATCCCCAGCCCTACCCCCCCCACCCCCGCAGACAGATAGAAAAGGTCTGAGCTCAGATGAAAGACCTTGGGCATCACTGAACTTCTCTGAACTTTCCCTACAAACTGGCAGAGAAAACAGGGTATAGGAAATGCCTTCACCTGCAGAGATCATTAGAAGACCAGAAAGGCAGGCACTGCCCTGCCCTTGGTGACATCTATCACAGGGCAATGGCCTCTCTGCAATGACCCTGGGAAGCCTAAGCTTTCTTTCTGATGGAAAGTTTTTTTTCCCTGTTTTGTCAGGCTTCAGTGTTAGTCCTCAGTTATGTTTCAGGGGTGACGAGTTCTCTCTTGCGGCTTGCTATGGGGTATCCACACATTGGGAGTGCCGGCAGACTTCATCAGGCAATCCGAGCCTGTCACCGTTCCTCTTAGAAGCCCAGCACCTGCATATATATGGGCTTAGGGTTAAAATTTGGAAGACCTGTACTTTCTCCTATGGCTTTGCATAGCTTTTCACCTGTGCCTCAGTTTCCCCACTTGCCTTATTGGGAACCTACTCTTCCTTCCCAGGGACATCTGTAGGTAATGTCCTCCTTTTTCTCCCTCCACAGACATCTGGACCTGAGGCTGCCGCCTGGGTCCCCTTCCCCACAGTCGATGTCCCAGACCATGCTCACTATACCCTGGGTACGGTGATCCTGCTGGTGGGGCTCACAGGGATGCTGGGAAATCTGACGGTCATCTACACCTTCTGCAGGTGCCTGAGTGGTGGGGCTGGGTCAAGGGCACTGTGCGAATCCAGTCATGAAGACAGGGCAGAATGCAAGGGTGAAGAGTTACCCAGCTCTATCCAGGCACCTTAAGAGTGTCAGAGAAGCAAGGACCACACCTTCTATAGCATCCGGTCTAGGCATCAACTCTTAAGCTGATGAAAAGGGGAAAATGGCCCAGGGAACCTTGAATAGCTTGTGCATGCCCAGTGGGCTTCAGGCATACCCTTTGGGGCAGGCAGGTATGCCAGGACCTTCAGGTCTCTGCTCCTTCGACCCTGCTCTCAGTTCACCTCTGCACTCAGAGGAATCCTCCCTATGCCTTGAAGAGCATCCCTGGGCACCAGGATCCTTGAACTCCCAGCAGCCAGCTTGGCTTCTTCCCCACCTATGCTGCTGGCTGCAACAGGCAGGTTGGGAAGCCAGCACAGACTTCAGGCTCCACCAGTGGGAGAACTGAGCCAGTCATTTATCCTCCTTGAGCCCACATCTCTTCTCTATAGCATGTAAGTGTGGCTCCCCGTCACCATGCTTCCTCCTGTTTGTGCACTGGCTGGAAAATAAATCCCAGCTTTGCAATTTCCCGAGTTGGGCTGGGGACCAAATCCTTTTGTGAGTGAAGGCCTTAGTACTGTCGTCTGGAGAACGGGACCGCAATGCGTCCCTTAGCAGCAAGTATTGAGACAGACAGTGCTGGAGGAGGGTTGTGAAGGTCCCTGTCCCGTGGTCAGAGTCATAGGTCTTGGGCCCTTTGCCACCTCAAGAGGGAACAGTGAAGCTGAGCGGGGCAGGGTCAAGCTGGGCAGCAGGAGGAGGAAGAGGAGAAATAGGAAGGAGGCAGAGAAGAGGAGAAGGAAGAGGAGGGGGAGGGGAGGGGGAGGAGGGGAAGGGGGAGGGGGAGGAGGAGGGGGAGGAGGAGGGGGAGGGGGAGGGAGAGGAGACTAGAGCAGGTAGGAAGAAGGTATCAGAGCAAGAGGGGTAGCCAGAGGGACGCTGTTGGGGGACCGTGGCCGGAGAGGATTGTCCAAGGGACAGAGTGAGTCAACCGAGGAAACAATCCAAAGGGTGAGAAGAAGAAAGGGGTGTGGTGGAGAGCCAGCTCCTGGGCTGCACAGCTCTTTCTGGAGACACCGCTCCTCACTTCACTATGAGGGACCGATCATGGGAGAGCCTTTGCCCATATTACTGGTGATACCTGCTGGACTGAGAGACATGCCTGTGGGCGGCCCAAGAGACCCCACCTGTGTCTATTCGTGGGGGAAGGGGGGTTGTGTGTGCATGCACGACCTGTTGCGTGCCCGTTTATCATATTAGCTCTTGTGTCTATGTGCATACATGAATAGCTGAGGGAGAGGGAAGGCTCCCGTAGCTCCAGAGGTCCTGGGAAGCATGCCCTGACTTCCTCCAACCTCCCAGGAACAGAGGCCTGCGGACACCGGCAAACATGCTCATCATCAACCTTGCAGTCAGCGACTTCTTCATGTCGCTCACTCAGGCCCCGGTCTTCTTTGCCAGCAGCCTGTACAAGAAGTGGCTCTTTGGGAAGACAGGTAGACACTTGGGGTTCCTTTCTGCTATAGGGAGGCAGGGGTTGTGATGGAGAGAGGCCACAGTGGTGGAGACGGTCCAGAGGAGGAAGTTTGCTCTCGCTGGGCACAGAGGGCAGCACCCTGGATCCCATGACCGAGTGAATGGGAAAGATGGGTTTCTGTCCTTGACAGCCCTGCCAGCCTGGCCAGACGCGGTGAGCGAGCATGGTGGAGATGGCTTGGTCCTGTTTTCTGGGAGGCAGGGGAGGAGCGGAGTTTGTCCCACCCTTTGAGACTTTCTCCCCCAGGGACTTACAGAAGTGGGTATACCCACAGGTTGCGAGTTCTATGCCTTCTGTGGGGCTGTCTTCGGCATCACGTCCATGATCACCCTGACAGCCATAGCCCTGGACCGCTATCTGGTGATCACACGTCCCCTGGCCACCATTGGGATGGGATCCAAAAGACAAACGGCCCTTGTCCTGCTGGGTGTCTGGCTCTATGCCCTGGCTTGGAGTCTGCCACCCTTCTTTGGCTGGAGTAAGTGGGCTGGGGCTCTTGGGGGAGATACAGATAGGCTATGAGAGGAAGTTTAAGACGAGGCTGGGTTGACCAGCTGACAGAGGGCTTCACGGATCACGTAAACGTCAGGTCAGACGACATTCGTGGCACGACCAGCATCGGGGGAAGCTCAGAGTGCTTTACCAGGGACTAGAGGACCAGTCAGAGAGCCTGTCGCCAAATATGGGGGTTACTGGATGGGAGCAAGTGGGGCACATTTAATGCTGAGTGTGTTGCTAGCCAGACTGTCCCAGGCCTGGGGCGGCGAGTCCTCAGCAGGTGGGACAAGCAGTAAGGCTTGAGGATCGCGGCCCTGGAGCTACAGAGGGGCTAGCTCCAGTCAATGCTGGAGCAATGTCCCTGCTAGAACCTACTTGGGAGAATCCCTTCACATCTCTCAACTGCCACTGGCTTTCTCAGTTCTGGGCGGGGCTTATGGCTGTGCTTAGGAACCCGAGTTTCACATCTGAAGCCCCTACGGAACAAGGTGCCTTAAGCAACCACACAGTGAAGTCTGCACTCCACCCACCCACCCCTGTCCCCGGCTCCCAGGCGCCTACGTGCCCGAGGGACTGCTGACTTCCTGCTCCTGGGACTACGTGACCTTCACGCCCCAGGTGCGCGCCTACACCATGCTGCTCTTCTGCTTCGTGTTCTTCCTCCCCCTGCTCATCATCATCGGCTGCTACATCTTCATCTTCAGGGCCATCCGAGAGACGGGCCGGTGAGTGTGCCGTGCAGGGCTGAAGCGAAGAAGGTAGGGTCTGCCCATCAGCGCACACTCGGGTGCAGGTAGGTTAAGACAGGGGGACCCCTGTGCTTATGGGGCGAGGGCACCTAGAAAAGTTCCTAGAGATGCGTCCTCTGTGGCGAGCTTACACTCACTGCATTCCTGGCAGTTCCACAGGAGGGCAGCTGAGGCCCAGTAAAAGGCCTTTCTGTCTGTGTGGGAAAGGACGACCCCTCCTATGTGTCCCCAGCAGCTGTGACCTGTACTTGCTACAGCCCAGATGCACCCTTCCTAGGGCCTGTGAGGGCTGCGGTGAGTCCCCTCAACGGCGGCGGCAGTGGCACCGGCTGCAGAGTGAGTGGAAGATGGCCAAGGTCGCACTGATTGTCATCCTCCTCTTCGTGCTCTCCTGGGCCCCCTACTCCACTGTGGCCCTGGTGGCTTTTGCTGGGTGAGCAGGAGGCATAACGCTGGACCAGGGAGCCTCTCCTTTCAGCCACCCTGACACCCTAGGTCCAACTTGGCAGCCTTACCCTCCCCACTCCTCGCCTCACAAGGCTTACCCAGTTCCTGGAAGCTTCGGGGATACACTGGGGTAGCCCTGGCTACCCACGGGAAGTCTGGGAACCTCCCATCTCCTTGGGAACAAGCAGATATTTCTGAGGTTCCGGCCCCCTCTTAGCTTGAGCCATAGGCACACAGACAAAGAATCGATCCCTAGTATGTTCTCTCTAGCACCCTCTATGGCTTGAGTCTGGTAACCATGGCACCTTCAGCAGCATGGGCATGGGCTAGATTTCCAAAGCACTCCTGTGAGAATGAGATTTTGGTACTTTGAGCTATTTGGGTACCAGTCTTTTTTATTAGTAAGAATGCAGTCTCCTAGAGGAGAAGTTTCTCTAGGACATCCAAGGGACAGTGTACAAGATGGGGTTAGGGGTTAGCAGCATTGCATGTGGGATCTGAAGACCAGAGTGGCATAGAGAGGCATTGCCAGCTGCACAGGCTCTAAGGGACAGTGGGACCTAGCCACCCCCACCCCTGCAGGTGTGACCCATCTTCCTCCCAGAGCCCCACCCCCAACCATCTTTAGTCTCCTTCCTACCCAGTCTTAAACCAGAATCCTCACTGGCACTGCCAGTCTCTCACTATGGGGCTGGCTTGCCTGTGTTGGTTAGGGCTGGCATTGGTGTAGGCTGGGCTGGCCTTGGCTTAGACTGAGCTGGCACTGGCTTAGTTTAGGCTGGCATTGGCTTAGGCTGGGCTGGCATTGGTGTAGGCTGGGCTGGCCTTGGCTTAGGCTGGGCAGGCATTGGTTTAGGCTGGGCTGACATTGGTTTAGACTGGGCTGGCATTGGCTTAGCCTGGGCTGACATTGGTTTAGACTGGGCTGACATTGGTTTAGACTGGGCTGACATTGGTTTATTTTAGGCTGGCATTGGTTTATTTTAGGCTGGCATTGGTTTAGTTTGGGCTGGCATAGGCTTAGGCTGGGCTGGCATTGATTTAGTTTGGAGTTTGGGCCTTGGCAGAGTCAGCCATAGGGACAACTGGGGACATGAATAGGGGACCCCACACCTTCTCTGTCCTAGGTACTCTCACATCCTGACGCCCTACATGAGCTCAGTGCCAGCTGTCATCGCCAAGGCTTCTGCCATCCACAACCCCATCATTTATGCCATCACTCACCCCAAATACAGGTGCGGCCTCCTCAAGACCTCCAAGCCCACCTAGGGGCATGAAGGGTCTGAGCCTACAGATGACGGCAGAGGTTATCTGTCTCTCTGATTTCTCACATGTATATTAGTTGGGGGGTCATGAACATCTTGGTGAAGCTAGTAATACTGGGAAGGGACTGAAGTTGCCACGCTCCCTCTTCTTTCCCGTATCCTACAAGGTATCAATGGCCACCTGTGTGGGAGCCAAACCTAACGACAGGCAGTCAGGTCAGATCATTAGCAGTACTTCCTGTGCAAGCCCCCAGACTGTGACACCCTGCAAACACCCCAGCAGGGCATGCTTGCTTCCACCAGGGGTCCTGGCAGCCTCTGGGGGGTAATGTGACCACGTTCATGCTCCACCAAGAGGGACGACAGCAAAGCCCTACTGTGGGCCCTCAGCGTTGTTTGCAGCTTGGTGATGTCCAGCACTTGCTAATCTGACGCAGACCTCAGTCAGTCCAGCCTATAGTACTTGGGTGTGTCCATGGCACCCATTCCCAGAGATGTCGCCTAGGACAACCGTGTTAGGACTTGAAGCGATGTCTAATTGGTTGAGCCCACTATCTCAAGGCTCTCCCTCTGTGTCCACCACTCCCTGGATCTATGGTTAATTCCATCAGCCCTGGGAGCCCACCAGTCTCTTTCACCTGGATGTCTGTCCGTCCCCATTACCAGCATCTGTCTATTCCCCATCTCTAAGCCCGTATCAGTCTGTCCTTTCCTTTCCCCCTTCATGTCCCTTACCCTAACCAGATATGTGACTCCTGCAGGGCAGCAATTGCCCAGCACCTGCCTTGCCTTGGGGTACTTCTTGGAGTGTCAAGCCAGCGCGGCCATCCGTCCCTCAGCTACCGCTCCACCCATCGCTCTACGCTGAGTAGCCAGTCCTCTGACCTCAGCTGGATCGCTGGGCCAAAGCGACAAGAGTCCCTGGGTTCTGACAGTGAGGTGGTAAGGATGCTGGGTCCTCACTGGCTGGCACCTCCCATTCCCTTTCCCAACCAGCCCCAGGAACCTGAACGTGGTTGGCAGGGCCACATGTGAGACTGGGGGGACGCGTCACCTCTTCTAACCTCCGGTGCCTCACCCTCTGTGACAACCGGGAGTACCCAGACAGAGAGGACATGGGTGATCTGAAGTGACCCAGCAGCAGCCCAGTCTAGACATAGGCTTTTCAAGTCACCCCTTTCTCCATGGCAGGAGCCAACCCAGGGTCCCTGTTCCTTAGCACTAAGCCCCCACCTTACGGGATGTATGAAGAGCTACAAGCTGCAGAATAGGGGGGACCACTAGCCTGCGATCAGACCTGGCTTCAAGCCTTGACATACCACACCGTCACTGTGTGATCTGAGAGCCAGCGTGGCTGGACTGACCCCTGTCCTTCGCTGTTCTATCCTTGAGGCCTTCTGTTAAGCTGTAGAGATGCCAGGGTCCCTTCTCTAAACCGCTAGTAGAAAGTGAGGGGTCTGTCTTATGTGCTAACAGAGGCCTTGACTCTGGTGAAGGACACCTAGCTGGATATCCACGGGCTTAAGCAGGCAAACACTATCAACCCCGGGATGCATTTTCCTGGGCTTTGGTGACCACAACTTTGCAAATGATGTCGTGGGTCCCCCTCAATGAAGCTGGAAGAGGCATGGGTATGCTGTAAGTTGTCCGTCTCACCTCAGAGTTGCTTTCCCGCCTCCCCAGGGATGGACAGACACAGAAGCAACAGCTGTGTGGGGAACTTCCCAGCCAGCAAGTGGGCAATCCTCCTGCGGTCAAAACCTGGAAGATAAGTCGGTCAAGGCTCCTTCCAGCCCCCAGGTACAGAAATCCAAAGCTCCCAAGGTGCTTGGACCCTGTCAGTCTGTGAAGGGGTAAGGAGCCAGGCCAAGTAGCCTAAGAAGTGTCCAGAAAGGTAGGCATGTAGTGTGAACAGGCCTCTCAAAATCACCTTGCCTTGCCTGCCCAGAGGTCTCTGACTCCCAGACATCCCCAGCAGAGCCTGGGTATGGTCTGTGACTAGGGGGGTATCTGCATGTGACTGTGACTATGTGTGCATGAAGTGCTGTTCACTATGTTATGCCATGACAGACGCAGAGTTATAATTGTATGTGCTCATGAAAATGTGTGGTCTGCAGCCGAGAACAGCTCATGCATGTGTGGCCCATGTCCCTGGCACATGCTGTCTGTCTCTGTGATGCCTGTGTCTTGTATGGGTGACGGAGTGTAGATGATTTTGTCTGATTCCGATGCGGGACGTACCTGCAGAAGAGGCTGCAAGCTGTGCAAGTGCTCACTGCCAATGCCCTGAGCTCAAGATGTCACTCAAAATACTTGCAGCTATAAAAAGAAGACCAGCTGTCAGCCCCAGTGCCTATGGAACGGAATGTTGATGGTGTTAGAGGAGGCCATATTTTGGAACACTGGAAATGCCATGAGCACAGGCAGCCCCTCCCCCCAGCTGGCAGCTTCCCTGCCCTCCTCTTTCCTGCACACAGCCCCTTTCTGTCAGCCACTGGGTATTCCAGAGCCTCCTCAGGCACTCGGGGATCACGGGTGTGTCCTGTCTTCCGTCCTTTGCTGCTTCCCTATGAGTAGCCCGCTGCTGCTGCTGCATCTGGGGAGCTCCCGTCCCCCTGTGTTGTATTCCAGGCACTATGCACGATCACAGAGGTCAGGTCAGAAGCCTGGTAGTGGCTTATGATGACCAGGAAGTGGTTAAAGACATAACGTCCACCCTGGGTGTAGGCAGGACCATGGGGATGGGCTTTTAGCACGGAGGGTCGAGGGTCAGCAGTTGCTAAACACAAGGGATAAGCATTGCCATCAAGTCACAGGGACACAGAGGAAACTCCCTGGGGTTCCCTGAGGGAAGGGGTTGAGCTGTCTGTCTGAGCATCCTGAGTGAACACAGAGGGACTCAGGAGAAGGAACAGGGAGTGTGTGTGTGTGTGTGTGTGTGTGAGAGAGAGAGAAAGAGAGAGAGAGAGAGAGAGAGAGAGAGAGAGAGAGAGTCAGAGAGAGAGAGGGAGAGGCAGACAGAGAGACAGAGAGAAGAGAGACAGAGGATTTGGGAGCATCCAAGGAGACCGTGAGGATAGCATTAGGGATGTAGAAAGGAAGAGGGGCGGGGCCGGTGGGTGGTAGGAATGGTGAACTGTGCAGGGGTGCAGGAGAGGGTGTCTCCAGACCCCGGGGAACAAGGATCCAGGAGGGGCTTAGTCACCTTTGCAGTACAGCCAAGCCCTTCTCACGTGCCCCCAGGGAGGTTGTGACAGGCAGAGTAAACCCGTGAGGTGTACTTCCTAAGGAAGCTGGTGCTACAGGGCAGGCAAATCGTGAGTGAGTTAGGGAAGAAGGGATAAAGGGGTCACCAGGCCTCACATACGTTCGGAGAAAGATCAACTGGGGTGGAGGCCTGAGTTTCTGAACCTCAGGCGTGCAAGCGCCTGAGGCTATCCTGGGAGTTATCCTGAAAACAGCCTAAGATCTTGCTGGCTCCTCCTTAGAAGTGTGGTCCTTGAGAAGGTCCACCCCAGCCCTGACCGCAGCCTGGCCCTCCCACACAGTTGCCCTCAGTGGTCAGTTTCCTCAAATGTGAAGAGGTATTAGAAGGCTGCCCTGTGAGACACCCCGAGAGATGAGCAGATGCGATTTATTTACTTGCAGACCAAGGGACAGCTCCCCAGCCTGGACCTCGGGATGTAGGACGCCCTCTGCCCTCCTTTTCTTCTGCTACTCGTCCAGTCCGGTCACCTCCCTAGCACAAGCACGAACCCAGGCTTATCTCTAAAGCCTGGAAGCTTTGCAAGTGTCACTGTCACCTGTGCTACCCTGGACTCACAGCTCCAGGGCCTTCCCACACCGTGAAACTCCGGCCTTGAAGCCTGCTCTGCACTCCTCAGCCGCTACCCTGGGCTCTGCCTGAAGCATGGACCAGGCTCTCTCTCCTGCTTCACTCCAGCAGCCGCCGCCTCTCCTCAGACACTGTGTGCCCCGATTGTCCAGGCGATGACAATGGCGATGGCACTAGGGAACACATCATTTATTTATGAGTCGAGCATCTTGGCTAGCGTTCGTGGCCAGGCTGGACATCTCATTGGTTCAGAAAGCTCTGCCCAGCATCCCCCCGCTGCCAGTGATAAACACAGACTTTACTTTGCACACCAGAAATTCTTCTCCACCTCTAACTTCCCATAGCATTCACACGGTGGCCCATACTCATGTGTGCATGGGCACTGGAGGGCACAGAGGTACCTATCTGTATGCACACGTAGCACATGTATGCACACCCTGCCCTGACTGACTGTTTTGTGCCAGTGGTCTAAGTTCCTTCCAGATGTGGCTCTGACAGGGCACTGGAAAATAAAAACCAAGGTCTCTTGTGACAAACGTGTCTACTGCTACTTCTGTGGCGGAGAGAACAGGCCTGATCTCCATGCCTCCGGCCACTTCTTTCTCCCTTCCCTAAGGATTTTCACTCCTGAAAATCCATTTCAGACTGTTGAGGAGCAAAATAGAGGAGGGACAAAGGCCAGTTTGGCCCATCCCCTGCTCCCCATGGAGGTGTGGAACTCCGCCCAGCCATGAGTACCAGCTGCTCTCCAACTGGCTTCGGGTCTCCCAGGGGAGGCAGAGGGAGGCTGGCCTTTCCCTTTAAGAACATCTTCTCACTCCCCCTCCCTTATCCAGAAGCAAGTCATCAGGCAGTGCCAGAGTCCAAAGAAAGAGCCTTCAGCTCCAGGTACAGCCTTGCTGGGTCACCAGGTTCAGGGTCAGCCTTGCTGGGGCTCCAGGGCCAGGGTCAGCCCTCTCTTTTTGGTTTTGCCATGTGGCTGAATCTTCCCCAGCTGAGGAGGACAGATAGGCCTGGGGGACGAGGGTGGGGGTTAGGGATAGATGGGATGGTGCCGAGGCTTGGATGGGAGAGGGAGGGGGTGCTGACCTCCTCGCCCATGAAGGTAGAGTCGCATGGTACCAAGGGGAGGTAGAGAAACAAAGGAAAAGAGCACGTCCCTCCCTGGCTTCTTCCCTGTGCTGTTTCTGTGACCTTGAGCAAATTGCCAAGTGACCCTGTAACATCAGCTCTCTTACTATGCTTACCCCCCCCCCCCCCGCCCCGTGTGTGCCAGGCTCGGAGTGTAGGGCTTGAGTGACGGCAGCTAGGGAATTACTCACATCCAGGCCTGCACTGAGTCCTCCAGGTTAGTGTGGTCCAGCAAGAAGGCAACCTTCAGCCTCAGTCTCCCGAGCTGGGAGCCACAGTGAACCTCAATCTATCTCCAGACTACACTAGATCTGAAGTCTCTCTTGGGGGGGAAGATGGGCTTCTGGGGGCATCTTAACACAAACGTCATGGTGGCTGAAGCCCCAAGGGGCCACGGCCACCAGCCAGAGCGCACTGTCTCCGGGGTTTAGGCTGAGCATGCCGCACATTCCTCCCCTGCCTGCCCCTTCTGGCTTGGTGTCCTAGCAGCTGAACAGGCGGCACTTCACCCCTACTCCCTGTCATTCCTGCGCAAAGGGCATGGAGCCTGGCGTGCAGCGCTGGCAGCTGGAGCTTTCCGTGCTGCTGTCAAGTTTTCCAGGGCACAAATGAGACAGGAGAGCCAGGAATAACTGCCTGGGCCCCAGAGGGTCTAGAGGGGTGGGACAACCTCAGACCTGGCTTCAGACCTCCTTCCAAGGGGTCGAACAGCACCCCCTACTCTAGGCCAGGCCTTTGGAAGATGCCTATGGCCACCGGGAGCCCATCATCTGACTTGAGTCCCGTTGAAATGAACCCAGGCTCCAGTGGGACCCAAGTCCACTCCCTGTGTGACCTTAGAAAATGTGTTTAACTTCTCTGCGCCTCGGCTCTTACAATCCAAGGTGGCAGCCTCTTAGGGCCCGCAGGAAACTGGTGTGAAGGGCCCCGTTTTCTGAACTTGGCCATGTTCAAAGTACTGCCATTACATGGCCATTTCTATGTCTGGACCCATAAAAGTGACCCGGGAGTCAGTCAGCACTCTTGGGATCTAAAGGTTTTACAGACCTGCTGGAGGCCAAGTCCAGGGCCCCATAGGGCCCCGCAATGGGTAAGGTGCCAACTCATGGTCCTGACTAGGAACAACAGGATAGCAAAACCCCTACCCAGAGGAGGGTCCAGAGTGGGCCCACTGACTGGAACAAGGGTGCATGGGCCCTGCAGAGTCCTCCCTGCCTGCCCCTTGGGGATGGGTGTCCTGGGTGCCTGACACCCCTTCCCATGGACTATATTAGCTGTGTGAGTCATGGTGGACTGGGAGGCCACGGGCAGGCGGGCCCAGTGTTGGGTTACAGTCCATTTATGGGCGCAGCAAGGGCAGATATCAGTGTCGATGGCATTTACTCCCAGCTATTCTTAGGAGCCTCCCAGGAGCTCTGCACAGCCTGACCAGGCAGCAAGGGACACAGCAGGCAAGGCCAGGGGTTGGGGTCCTGGGGCCAGGAGCAGAGATATTGACTGGAGAGACGGGGTGCATGAGTGTCCTCTTACCTGACTCTTTGTGTTATTTGTCTGCAGAGGAAACCACTGCTGTCGGTACCGGTATGTCTTACAGTGTGACTCTGACTGGGCCTGGGCCCTGGGGCTTCCGTCTGCAAGGAGGCAAGGACTTCAATATGCCCCTCACTATCTCCCGGGTAAGTGAACACTGTCCCTAGCCTTATTTCCAAAGAGGCAGGGCCTTCTTGGAAGAGGGCACGCTCATGTCCATCTGTCTGTCAGTCAGTCTGTCTGTCTTCCTGGGGCTCTTGGAAAGCACAGCCTGTCCTATTCCTGGCCTGAAGTCTAGGATTGGACCGGGCTGATCTTGGCCACAGCTGAATTTGCTCACCCCAGCTTGATCTCTGGACTTTGCCCATCTAAGCAAGATGTCATGGGCAAATAGCTGGCATTTTGAGTAGAGGAGCAAATGCTGATTTTGCGGGGTGGGTAAGCTTGTGGGCAGAGAGTGCAGGGCCTTCCTAAGCCCTTCCCTAGCAGAGCAGGCTTGGGGTATTCCCAAACTTGGAGTCCCTCCCTAAAAGTGGACAGTTGCTTAGGGAAGAGCATTCCTAGCATAAGGTAGACAGGTAGATGGACAAATTGTTGCCCCCGCTGCCTGCTGTCTCGATAAAAATGCAGGCTAGACTGACTGCTGCTCTCCAGTGTCCCCGGACCCAAGACACCAGCCCCTCCTCTCCCTGCCATAGTAGGCCTGACAAGAGCCTCATGTCACCTGACCCTTGGTCTGAGCCTGTCTTCCTCACCTGAGCCCGGGGATGCCTGTCTCATGACTTTGCTCTTGCTAGGCTGGGGAAATGGCCCCTGGATCCTGAAGTGTGTGGTGAGACACATCACTGCCCAATGGAAATGGCACCAAATGTCATGTGTTATGAGCGCGGTTCCCATTGGGTTGGAGAAACTGAGGCCCAGAGATAAAAAGTAGACGTTCTTGAAAGGAAGAGAGTAGTGTGGCTTTAACTACTGCCACAGCCTGTTGCTATCTGCTCAATATTTGCTAGATAGACCGCCCCACAAGTCCTGGTAGATCCGGGACTGAAGGCCCCAGGGCTTAAGGGTACTGAGAAGCATGCAGGGAACAAGTATAACCTGCTTGGTGGCTGAGCCCCTGGCAAGACTGATCTGGGCTTAAGGGGTAGGGTTAGACTCCAGGCTGTCACTGTGAAGTTTGAGGGCGAAATCAGGTAGAGTTGGATTGCTGCTTCTTCCATAGCGGGGCAGAGACTTGCCTTGGGCCTGGGGCTGGCACTCAGCGGTAGCGGTCGGGGAAGCCTGGCGGGTGCCTGACACAGGGGCAGGGTCCAGTATCTTCCACTGAAGCAGGCTTGGTCCTCAGATCCCTTTTAAGCTAGGCACATAGAGTGGTCTTTGGGGAAGGACGTTGTCCTTCACCTCTTAGCTGCAGATCTGAAGTCTCTGTCCTCCAGACCTACTGCCCTGAAAACCGCAGGGCCCTTGTTGAGAGGACACCCTAAACCACGTACATTCTCCGTGACAATGTGGTGACATGTGAGTCCAGTGGCTACGCTCAGCCCAGACCCTGCACAATCCCCACTCCTGTGACTGTAGTTTTCCTGTCTGTATAAGGTAGGGCCTCTCGCACCATTTCATGTGCCCTTCGGACTGATGAAGATTGATGGGATGCCTAGGATCGAGCCCACCATCCCCAAGGCTCATTGCTGGGGCTCCGTGCTCTGTCCAAGGGGAACAAATTCATCTCCAGGATCAGTGGCACCCAGAAAAGCCAATGACCTCACTCAGGACCTATTCAACACCTGGCCCCGGATGGCCAGGGCTTAAATGACAGCACAGAGGCTTTTAGCTAGACAGCAAGAAGAATGTCCTCAATCAAAGATGGGGCAGTTGGAGTGTGCTGGAAACTAAAGCTAAGGAGACAATTAAAAATAGAAGCCAGGGCATTAGGAGATCGGCTAATTTCTGATACAAACCTCAAATCACCTGAAGCACGGTGGCCCGAGCAATGGTGTTCAGGTCTTGCAGTCTCCTGAAAAATACAACCAGTGGGCCACAGATACAGGGGGCTTTGACAGCCCAGGCTTGGGTATTTCAGGCCCAGTGCTGATGGCAAGGCAGACACTGGACACTAGGCTTGTGGTGTTTGCTGCCAACATGTACAAGTACCTTCTGTACCAAACATTCTGCTCACAGAGACAGGATTGGGGCACTGCCCATCTTCAGCAGCCCCCTGCTCCAGGCACAGTCACTGCAATTGTGAGGGGCGATCAGGCAGGAAGTCCGGGGTTACTAGCTCGGAGCCCAGCAAACTAAGACTTGCACGGGATGGAGATGCCCATGGGTAGCACTCACATGTCCTGCATGGCCTGGTCCTTTGCCTGTCAGTCCGGGCACTGGCGGAAGCTGGCCTCTCTCAAAAGTGGGTATGTGTTCCTCCCAGAAAGAACAGCTGCCCCCTGCATGTTGGATGATAGCTTGGGTATCACCTTGCCCACGGCCTCCACTCAGGCACCACGGCATCAGCCTGAGCTGAAGACCCCCAAGACCCTCATTCAGTGAGCTTAAGCCTGGGAATTTGCTGCGATGGGATTCAGGAGGGGTTCTCTCAAAAGGGTGGAGGGCAAATGCCTCTATTTATCCCGGACAGGTGCAGAGGCCTGCAACCCGAGCTTCCCTCTCACCCCCCCCCCCACCTTAGCCAGTTCTCCAGGAAGCCGAGCTGAGGGAGCAGATCAACAGGTCCAGCCCTCACCAGGACCCCTGCCTCTGGCCAGATGCTGGGGCTGGGTGTGGGGCCCTGCTCCTTCGTGGCTGTGGCACCTTCCACCTTAGGAAAGAAGCAAGTGTCTTTGTTCAAGTCTAGCATGGCCTCAGTGGTCTTGCCTATAAAATGGGGTAGTGCTGTCCATACCTGTGAAAGTACAAGTGTGGAAACGAGGCTGGCTATGAGGCCGGCGTGCAAAGGGGCGGTGGGTGGGGTCAGGCCTGCTTCCTTATTGTCAAGCCTCTGCTCTCAGACTCTCCATCCTGCCTGGCAAGTTTGCCTGGGCCACAGTCCAGAGGTCTTCTGCTTCTCCTCTGGCTTCAGTTTCAGTATTATTGAGCTGTCCCAGCTAAGGTGGGGACACTGAGCACAGAGGACCCTTGGGAAGAGAACGAGAGGACAGTTTGAAACTATTCTGGGGGTGGCTGTGCTGGCGGTTCCTGGAATCTCCAGGCCCCTGGAGCGTAGCATCTTGAGCTGTTCCCGGCAACGCCTATCCGTGCTGACAGCCCGTGCTGTTTATAGCGCTGCTGAAGGTCAGGCAACCATCTATCTGCAGTGAAGATAAGGGACAGTCATAACTGGAGACTGCATTCTTAGACTTCAACTCTCCAGGTCCTCCTGTGACTCCAACTAACCTCTGACCCCTTGAAGGCCTTGAAAGAAGCAGGCCAGAGGCCCGCTAGGTTCTAGGAGGGCCCCTTGTAGGTCCCTGAACCCAGAACACAAGCCAAGGGCAACTCTATGGGAAGACAGGAATGCGGGCAGATGCTATGTGGAGACAGAAGACTCTGGGGACAGTGGATATGAGGAGGTTATAGGTACCAGGGACAGGAGGAAGTCCCCCAGCTGTGAAGACCCTCCAGTCCTTACCTCCAGGCTTCCCATTCCCAAACATGGCTTCTCCACCCTTCTAGAGCCAGGTTCCTACTTTCATGGGAGCCGCCCTTGGAAGCATGAAGTAGATTTTCCAGGGCCAAGTGCGCATAAGAACACTGGCAACTTGCTGGAGAAGTGGAGAGGAACAGTGTCAGGATTCAGACAAAAGAAGACCCACACACACACACACATATACACACACACACACCGTACACACATACACACACACACACACACACACACCAATTATTGGTATGTGCGGTCAGTTAGGTTCCAAGGCCAGGTATCCAAGTGTGTGAGGGGTGGGATGTGGAGGAGTAAGGACCTGTGCTCACTTCTTGGGGGAAACTCTGAGAGCATAGAAGGTGAAATGAGAGCTATTTGGACAAGCAAAGCAGGGCACGGGAGAGCCTGACTTATTTATACGCCAGAGTTGGAATAGCGGTTGAGGTCACTGGGAGACAGAAGTTTCCAGAAAAGGGGCAAGACCCCAGGGGAGGCCAAATGGGGAAAGAGCTGGCCTGGCACGTGGTAGTTTAATCCCAGAGAGTTGAAATGCACTTAAGATTGGGGAATCCCTGCTGGCTTTGAAGACGGGGATGGGAAGTTTCCACTCCTAGGCCTGCTTCCTGTCCTTGGTCAGCCACACTGCTACTGGCAAGTTGCACAGTGTGCTTCTGAATATGGGGAGGGATGATGAAAACTTCTGTCAAGCCCAGGGGTCCCAGAGAGGCTGCCGGCTGTCCTCTCCGCTTCCAGGGAGCTAGCGGGTCAGGAGGTCATGACACGGGAGCTTTGAACTACCGCATGGCACCTTGTTTCCCTGGGAGCCTGGACGAAATCCCTACTATCCTGCCACACCCTTCTAGAAATAGTAGGCTTGCACAGGACTGGTCACTGGGGTTTGACCGCCTTCTGTCAGCTCTGTCTTGCTTCTTGTGGAACACTGGGGTACAGCCATTCTGGTCACATACCTGCTGTCCCCCAGTGCTATCCTTGACTTTTCTGGAGCTTCTGGGGAGAAGGAGGTCAGGACCAGAACTCAGTCTCCCTTGGATTCCATCAAAATGGTCTCAGCTCTCAGCATTCTCGTGTCACACCCTGTTTGATAACTCAATCCTCACAAGACGCCCGAGGAAGGCCCCGCGCTCTGGACAACCACCGGGATGTGTGAAGTTTCAACCAAAGCAGGCGTAACTTGACTGGTTCCATTGTGTGCATGCTTTGCTTTCCTCCTCGGCTCGACGGTGGCCACGGCTTCAGTTGTGCTGGCCGGGGGAGGGGGCTGTGCCTTGCAAATCCAGTGTGTCCTCTTGACCATAATCTCATTTCTCTATGGTCCTTGCCTGGCTTACACATTTGGGGTCCAGAAGAGGAATGTTCTGGGCACAAGGTGGGCAGTGTTTAAGAAGATTCCTGGGACTTCAAAGGCTGGTGAGCAGCAGTTGGTAAGGGAGAGCCTTTTAGTCTTGTTGCCATCACCCACGTGGTATGGTCAGTGCTTCTGGGACCAGTGACATGGGGTTCCTTACGGTCACGGCCCAGCAAGCATGGGCCACGTGGCTGATCTTGGTTCAGTTTGACCTTGGCCTCTCTAGGCTCTGCTTACTGTTCAGATCCACACTGAAAAGTGACTGTTGCCTTGAACAATTGACAAATTAGGTAGAAATGAAACACTCATTCAGAGAGAATTTTAAATGATCAAAAAAATATAGAAAGCCTTTTTATAAAAAAAGAAAATATCACCAAGAACGAGTGTGCTTCGAGTCTTCCCTGAGACAAAGTCAACATAGAAAGGAGGACATAAAGTTAGAGAAGAGATGCGTGAACTAAACTTTTCATGAGCCCTGGGCTCTAGGCAAGGGACCCGCAGTGCCAGCCCCGTACCCCGGCCAGCTGAAGCGGCTCCTGTGGTGGAGGGAAGGGATCTGATGGTCCTTGGCCGTCTTTAGCACCCCTGCCTCCGTCTCGTCTCCTTCTCTGAGGACACTTGAGTAGAAAAGAACATTGCCCTGAATACCCCACCCCCCAGTTGAGGGACACTGGGCCCTGCTTAGGGCAGCCAAAGGCCAGGCCAGCTGAGCCCTGATGGGCAGACGCAGATGCAGGGAGAGCGATGCCAGGGACAGGGGGATCCAGCTTGGTGACTCCCTCTGGAATGTTTGGCTACTAACCAGGCCCCTGGAGCAAGGATTACCCCAGCCCACGCCTGAGGATATCAGACAGGGCCAGGCACAGGGAAGGATAAGTACAAGTTGGCCGTGCTTTAGGGAGAAACATGTCACCAGGCAGCTCTAAAGACATGGCATTCCTGATGGCCTGCAGCTGGCACCAGCTGATGAGGCCCAGCCTCCCTTGGATGTCATTCTGGTGCCCTTGCTTACATGGTTATCATGCTCCGAACACTCCCACACTGCCTGGCAGTGTCCCTTCTGCCTCCGAAGCCCCACCCTTCTGTATGAATTGGTAGCTGCTTCCCTCTGCTCTACCCCAAACTATTGAATGCAAGAAACAATTCCTTTTCCATAGATAGAAGCATCTGGGGATGTCCTTCTGTGGTGATGTCCTGCTACGGAGAGCATTTTAGGGGCTGGCATACCATAGACAGGACAGCTTCACTATGAGGTATCTTTCCATGGGAATGTCCTGCCACAGAGAGGCGAGCTGTGGGACACGGGCAGTCCACTAGGACAGCATGGCACTGGAAAACTTTACCCTGGGTGTTTTCATCTGTCTTTTCAGTGCTTCTAAAGTAAGATGGCCTGATGGATGGAGAGTAGCGAAGGTGGTGTGTGATTAAAGCGGAGAGCGGGACGTTATGGTTGTACGGTGACGATAAGAATTGGGTGTTTATAGTCTTTCAGCTTAAAGATTACTATAGTGAGTTGTTAGAGGCAGCGCAGCCTTGCATAAAAAGGTGGACTTTCTGCATAGCAGCGAGAGGCTTGTCTAGGGATATATCGTGGTTTTTTCCCACTGAGGTGTGTGTGTGTGTGTAGACAAGAAGATGACTTTGGGTATTGTGCCTTAGAAGTCATTCACCTTGTTTTTTGAGACAGGGTCTCTCATTGACCTGGGTACACCTATTCAGATAGGGTAGCTGGCCAGAAAGCCTCGGAATCCATCAGTCTCTGTCTTTCCAGCAATTGTGATTACAAGCAATTACCTACCCCTGTTCTTCAGTTGTGTGGCAGGACTCAAACTCAGGTCTTCAAGCTTGCAAACACTTAACTGACTGAGCCATCTCCCCAGGGTCTGTCAGTGTTTTTCACCTCTGCATTCAAGACAGCAACACACTTCTCTTACCGCAGGTTCCCTGTGGGGATGAACTAGGGGATAACGATGGTTCTACAATGGCCCTCTGGCATCTGGAGAGTGGGCTTTGCAAATCAGGTCTATTTTCTTGGCCATTCAGGCTTTCATTTCTCTAGTGTTCTTGCCTGGCAATTTGAGGTCCAGAAGAGGAATTTCTGGGTACAAGATGGACAGTGGTTGAGAAGACACCGGGAGTGGGGTGTAATGGCACACACCTTCAATCCCAGCACTCGGGAGGCAGAGACAGGTGGATCTCTGTGAGTTCGAGACCAGCCTCGTCTACAGTGTGAGTTCCAGGACAGTCAAGGCTACACAGGGAAACCCTGTCTCAGGGAGGAAAGTAAAGGAGACACCTGGGACTGCAAAGGAAGGGTCCTTCTGGTCTTGTTGTCATCACCCACAGGGTACAGGACCAGCTTCTGGGACCAGTGATATGATTACACCAAAATCATTCTTTTTCTGGGCACAGTGACTGCAAGGTGCTTTGATGTGTGTATAGTTCCCTTTAAGGAACCTGGCAGGAGGCTTCCATCCATTCCCAGAGCTCGACTAGAGGCCCACACAGGCTTGGCACATGTAACATGGGGCTGGCCCCAGGTCATCTGTGATCGCCTTCTAGGATAGTCCCCAGACCTTAACCAAAATCCAGCTTCCGGCAGTGTTAATAGCCGGTCTTATTCCTTCGGTATAGCCAGGAAGGTGGGCAGGATGTGGCCAGAGATGCCAAGAGAACTAACTGGTGGTCAGTAAGGGGACAAAACTAAGGGATAGACTCCAGCCTTCTGGACAATGGTGTGGAGGGTGTTCAGAGCCCCCTCTTTCCTATGATGTCATTGGTGATATGGCCTGTGTCACATTCCATGTGGTATCATAGAAGGACTTTCTACTGTCATAGGGTCAGCTCCTAAAATACCCTTATGCATAAGTACCACACACTAACAGATTGCCCCACCTAGCTTGTCTCCTCAATCAGTAACCATTTATACTGGGGACAAAAAAGCGATCACTTCCATGTGGTATTATCAAAGACTGAGACATTCCATTGGAAGTCATAGAAACTGAAGGTAGTCTCCTTTAGTGACAACTCATGAGCTATTTTTCAGAGTAGGGCTGCTGATGTCACTATGGCCATTCAATCAAACCACTCTAAATTATGTCACTAGACCCTCTGGAAGTTTGTGTCTCAGATGATATCACTGTGGGTAAGGTCACACTCAAAGTACTGTTACTAAGGGGCTGCCAGGCAAAATTTGGTATTGTGTATGATGTCATTGAAAGTTCATTGTGAAGCCGGGTGTTGGTGGTGCACACCTTTAATCCCAGCACTTGGGAGGCAGAGGCAAGCGGATCTCTGTGAGTTCGAGGCCAGCCTGGTCTACAGAGTGAGTTCCAGGACAGCCTCCAAAACAATACAGAAAAACCCTGTCTCAAAAAAAAAAAAAAAAAAAAGAAAGAAAGAAAGAAAGGAAGGAAGTTCATTGTGAGCCACCATGGCTTTCCCTATATCCTGTAAAGTGTTTTCAGAGTAGAGTGTCAACGACACTCTGTGCGGTCAAAGACGGAGCCTCCAGACAAATATTTTTGGGTGTCAGTGGGGCACAGGAATTAGGAACCAGCTTCATAATTGTACCTTTCCTCCCAGAGGTATGCGGGCAGCGGGCGAGACTTAAGCCTGACTCACTTCACGGCCCGCCTTGTTCTCACCCAAGCAGGACTGATGGCTCTGGCAGTTTTCTGTGTCCCTGTCTCTGGTAGCGTGGAGCACCTGGTGCTTGGATGCTTGTGTGAGAGGACACTTATGCTGCTCTTTTGGTCAGGCAATGACTAGAATGACCGGGGCAGGGAGGTGCTAGCTAAGTCTTCCCTCATTCCTTGGACTGGAACGTTCTCAATGGCTTTGCAGGGTGCAGAGGTAATGGGTTAATTGGGGCGATGTATAGTCCCCAAGTATCGATGACCTAGCACAGTGGGAATTTATCCCTCACCTGGGAAGCCCGACATGCCATCTCTGCTCCAGGTGGTGACTCTGGGATCCAAGTTCCTTCCAGTTAGCAACTTGGCGGTCCTTGTCTCAAACCTGTGCATTGAGTCAGTCAATAAGCAATGTGCAGTATTGTAGTGATGCTTGCCCGGGGAAAGACCTGGCAGTGACGTGTGTTACTTCCACCAGCATTCCACTGGTCAGAGCTGGTCCCTTGATGGCCGTCAAAAAGTCCTAGGATGTAGAAGCCCTGTGAGGAAGAGCAAACAGGCCTGGTGAGCAGCCTGGTCGGCCATCGGGAAACAGCAGCATAGTGGATGTCTGTGGGCTGCCACAGGCCATCCTTCCCTGACTCACCCCTTCTTCTGCTGTCTAACCAGATCACTCCAGGCAGCAAGGCAGCCCAGTCCCAGCTCAGCCAAGGAGACCTCGTGGTGGCCATCGATGGCGTCAACACGGACACTATGACCCACCTGGAGGCCCAGAACAAGATCAAATCCGCCAGCTACAACCTGAGCCTCACTCTGCAGAAGTAGGTGGAAGCCCGCCAGAGAAGGGGGTGCAGGTTATGTAGGCCTGCGGTAGGGACAAAAGAGGGACTGTCCTCAGCGTTTGCACGGGCCTAGCCCTGCACTACAGAACTGTACAGGAAAGGTGGGCCGGAATTATTGTCAGGTTACCACCGCCTTGCTTTACGGAAGTGGATTAGACAGAGAGCATGGCCACAGTGCCACACGTATGTGGAGGCTGGACCTGCGTGCGAGTCCTGCTTGCTCTTTCCTGGGGCGTCCCTACCCTCACCCCATGCAGAAGAGGCCCATGAGTGCTGACATGAAAACCCCTGGGCTTATGACTCCTTACCCTGCTCGAGCCCAGGGCCTCCCTTAGGGGACCTAGTGCATGAGTGGATGTGCGTTTGGGCCCTGGGACTCCGCTGCCCAGCTCTCAGTCTCCCCCAGGGGCTTTTGTCCAGGTACAAATGTCCTCACTGGGTCTTGTTCCTGGTTTCTCTAGATCCAAGCGTCCTGTTACCATCTCCACAACAGCACCCCCGGTCCAGTCCCCACTGCCAGTGATACCCCACCAGAAGGTATGTGCTGACCTCTTTGGTGGGGTCAACTTATCCATGGTTCCTGGATAAACTCGCCTGCCTGCCCCTACCACCGCTGACCCTTATGAGAAGTGTTTGAGCCCCCTTACCTATGACACATCGAGTTGTGGGGATGTCTACCTGGGCCCAAGATACCATCCCAGACCCGGTCGCTGTTCTAGGAAGAAATCAGTTTGGAAAACAGTGTTCTGAGAAGACAGCCAACATTCTAGTCAGACAGGAAACAGGCATCTGTCTAGGGGGCCCTGACCCTCATTGTCTTGGACAATAAGTTGCTTTAAAGAGGCCCCAGCTTGAATCAACCATTCCGGGAGACAGCCCCAGGTGCGAAGGGCCCTTCCTGGCCCTTGGAATTTCTCTTCCACGCAGTTTCCTCCTGTTTCTAAGTGTCTACCCATCCCTCACAGCTACAGACCCCTCTGTCCATGAGGAACAGCCTCCAAAACAATACAGAGAAACCCTGTCTCGTAAAAAAAAAAAAAAGTCTTAGAGGCTAGCACAGGAATGGAGAGGAGCAGAGCCTGGGGCCCCAAATCTCACCACTAGATCCAGAGCCCTTCCCAAGTCTTCTCTAAGCATCTGAACCCTGTGGTCCAAAGGCCTAACCTACACTGGGGAAGGCTGGTCCAAAGGCCTGACCTACACAGGGGAAGGCCTATCCATAGCTCCTCCCCCCTCTCTCTCTACAACTGTAGACTGACTACAGAGATTGGACAGTAGGTGAGATGGGAAGAAGAGACTCATGAGGGGGGTCATAGATGGAGGAGCTGGACAGAGGGCTGCTGGGAGAAATTGCTACGGTAGATGGAGATGGCCAAATAGCCCAGCTGCATCCCTAGGTTTCCCTCTGTACCTCCACCCCAGATGTCAGTCAGCCCTGGCTATGAAGCGTCTTCTCCAGGTTGGGTCAGTAAATCAGGAGGCTTGTCTGCACTCACAGGGTACCCACTCAAAGGGAAAGGGGGCCAATAGACAGGATAGCGGCACCTAACTCTCCTCTGAGCCCTGCATCCTCCTTAGCCTCTGGGGCAGGCCCGGCTTTCTGGGAGGGGCTTTGCATTCTGTGCAGATGGATGCCAGCCTCTAGACCAGAGCCACAGGCTCCCCTCCCCCACCCCTCTCGCAGAGGCCTTCCTTGGTAGTGTCGCATCTGGGTGCTTCATGTGGCCGCTGCAGACTATGGGTCGTGGGCTACAGGTGCTCATACTAACATCTGTTTCAAGCCCACGCAGAAACACAGCCATGTGTGGCCTCTAACCGCTGTCTTCTCTCTCCCCCCGCATGGTGCTGCCCTATGTCAGGATCACGCTCTGGACACGAACGGCAGCCTGGCGACTCCCAGCCCCAGCCCTGAGGCGAGGGCCAGCCCAGGCACCCCGGGCACCATGGAGTTCGGGGACACCTTTAGCTCCTCCTTCTCCCAGACCTCTGTCTGCACCCCACACATGGAGTCTGCCCTTCCTCAGGGCAGCCCAGTGGCTAAGGCCAGCCCAGAGGGTATCCAGGGCTCAGTCAGCCCCCAAGTTCTGCCAGGCCCCAGGCAACCGAGGCAATATAACAACCCCATTGGCCTGTACTCAGCAGAGACCCTGAGGGAGATGGCTCAGATGTATCAGATGAGCCTTCGAGGAAAGGCCTCAGGTGCTGGACTCCTAGGAGGGTAGGTAAAGGGCACGCTGCTGTCTGGTATGGCGCCACCTGGGTCATCGGTGCTCACTACAACAGCCTGGTCAGGTGGTCAGGGGAGGAACAGGCCTCACCCCAGCCGGCCCTGCACCCGTGATAGTACCAGCCGATAGCAACACCAGCAGGGAGCCTACTGACGCTGGCTGTCAGCCAGACACATCGCTGCTTTGTATGACCACTCTGGAGCAGCGTGCCAGCTTTTTGCAGAAATGGAAACTGAGGCTCAGAAAAGGTTGAGCTGAGGTTCAGATGTCCAGCTACTACGTGGCTGAGCTAAACGTGACTCTCCAGAGTTTCACCCCAGGCCACACCCCATCCCACCACCTTTGGGAGCTAAAGGTCTAAAAGAAAGACTAGCCCCCCACATCCCTGGGCAAGAACAAGGAAGAGTTAGAGATAAGAGAGTAAATTCTCAGCTGGGCGGTGGTGGCTCACACTTTTAATCCCAGCACTCAGGAGGCAGAGGTAGGCAGATCTGTGAGTTCAAGGCCAACCTGGTCTACAAAGTGAGTTCCAGGACAGCCAGAGCTACACAGAGACCTTATCTGAGAAAGAAGGGGAGAGAGAGAGAGAGAGAGAGAGAGAGAGAGAGAGAGAGGGACAGAGACAGAGATAGAGACAGAGACAGACAGAGAGAGACAGAGAGAGAGACAGAGAGAGAGAGGGAAAACATGCTCTCTAAAGTTGAGAGTGGTCTAGGAAGGCTGCCTGGAGGAGGCACCAACAGAAGTACCCATGGAGAGACTGGACAATGGTGTGCGGGGAGGAGGTTCGCAGGACTGCCCCAGGCTAGGATGGACTCCAAAAAAGCAGAACTCTGAGGAGAGAGGGTCGTGGGAAACAGCAACCCACCTCTGGTCGTCACAATCTAGTAAGACTCAAGGGAGTAGGAGCTGAAGGAGCACAGAGCCAGGTCACTGGAAGGGTAGAAGAGGGATCCACATCCGAGCACGTGTCAGCTGCCAGGACTCTCTTCCCTCTTGTCTCACAGTGACTCTGCTTCTGTCCTTTACAATGGGTGTTCTTATCTCTAGGTGCTAAAAGGCACAGACAGCTGAGCTGAGGCGTTGTAGCCCAGTGTCCCAGTGAGAGGAATCACGGTTGTCTTCAGTTACAGGGAGGATAAAGACTTGTCACACACTCAGTATGAACTCACTGCCTAGAGTCTTCCAGCTGAAAGTCCAGAGTCAACAACATAGGAGTTCCGTGACCCCATCACGCCCTTCTCTGCTCTTCTGTGTCCACTAGACTACAGCTTTCTGGTTTCTCAACTTCCCCAGCTCCTTCTGGAATCCGAGCAAGGCCAGTACCTAGCACATCATGGCTTCCCCAAGCAAAGGTTTTCCCAGCAAAGAAGCAGAAAGTTCTAGGAATGGCAGAATAAAGATGGTCTCCTTTTCCTGCCTCTGATGGGTAGGTAGGTCTTCTTGGTCCCTTCTGGACCCACTCCAGGAAAGAAAATTGCCTTCTTGTTGACTGGGACCCCTGGAAGTCCCACTTGCAGTGATGACAATGTCTCCATGGCTGAACTCTGACTCTAAGCTGGGAACTGGCTCTTTTCTTATTAATTTAATTCATGTGTATGGGTGTCTTGCCTGCATGCATATCTAAGAGATTGTCTTATCCTCTAGGACTAGAGTTACAAATAGTTGCGAGCTGCCGTGTGGGTGCTGGGAATCAAACCCAGGTCCTCTGGAAGAGCAGCCTGTGCTGAGTCATCTCTCCAGCCCCATAGGAACTGGCTTTGTCAATAACTTCATCTTAACAAGTCAGATACAGTGTGAAACTGACCCCAGATCATATAACTAGTAAGAGGCAGACAGAACTAGCACTCAATCTGCCCGATTCCATCTTAATTTGAGATGAAACAGAAAAGGCTAGGAGATCAGGGGTCCTGGCCCTAACCCCCCCACACACACAGGACCCTAACCCCCCACACACACACACCTCTTGACTCTCAGGTGCCAGTCCTTTGGTGCAGATGCTGTCCAGAAATCGGCTTGGTAAATGTAGAATTATCCGTTGATAGCTGGAGAAGCGAGATCCAACAGCACCCTCAGTGGGAAGGTGGACAGAGGAGACGTGAGCTTGGTGTTTCACTCAGAGTCAACGCTGGTGCTGTGGGTGCTGACCGTTGTGGGCGGGAAGAGCTGGGACCTCTGCTGGGCTGAGGCCCCCGCTTTGCTAAGTGTCTAACTGCTTGAAAGCAACAGAGCTGGCATTTCTCCATGCCCATCTATTGCTTGCATCCTGTGCTAAAGGCTTGGGCTGAGTTGGGGGGCGGGGTACCATTACTTGGCATAACCCATCTGCAGGGTGGAAACCCTCACCTCCTCCTTTTTCATGCATTTTTTATTTTAATTTTACTTTTATATGTGAGGGTGTCTTGTCTGCATGTGTATCTGTGTACCACCAGAAGAAGGTCTCAGACCCCCTAGATCTGACATGGGTGCTGGGAATCAAACTGGGGTCCTCTGAAAGAGCAGCCGGTGCTTAGCCCTGGATCCCTCTTCTCAGGAGCCCCCCACTTCCTTCTTAGGAATGGGGATGAGATGGAGGAACTTGCCCAGAGTCATGATGTTGAGAAGAGTCAAGGTTAGGAATTGACCTCTGTCCTGTCGTGCTCCAAAAGGAAGATCCTTCCTTGCTGTCCTCCGAGCGGCTTGTGGTGTGATTCTTGGCAGCTGGATCTCTGAGGAGGCGAGGAGGGGAACCAGTGGAGAGCGAGGACAGAATGCGGGACCCCAGTGCTCCTCTGAAAGGCAGCCTTCCGTGGCCCCACAGAGCAAGGTCCCCCCCCCCAGCAGGCCCTGCCCCCTGGCGCCTCCTCCTGAGATCCGAGCCTTAGACCCTCTCTGAGCTGTGTGTGCTTCAGACATCCAAGCCTTGGGATGGAGCCAGAACCTGGGGGGGGCATTAGTGCACAGGGCAGAGGCAACCCCACCCAATCGGGTCAACACTGCCCTCTGCAGGGGACGCTGGGCTGACTGGTCATCCCAAGAGCTGACCCTGCAGCTGTTAGCACTGGCCAAACATGGAGAAGAAACGGCAAAGCCATGCTGGCCTTTTCCTAATATAGATCCACTTGTGGCTATTTTGAGCATGGGAGGACAGAAGGAATTTTATCAGCTCTGAGACAGTAGGGGATCTTGGCCTGAGTAGATATAGCACTGGATCTCTGGGGTGGGGAGTTCTCGGCTTCCCAGGACGCTGGTTGTGGGGTGACCAGGTCCAGGCTGACTGAGGTTCCCTCTTCCAGAGTTCATAGTGGACAGATCTAGGAAAGCAGATATATTTGGAGACAATGTCCACTCCGCTCCGTACTCTCATCTGGGGTGTCAGACAGGACCACAGGGTCTGTCACCACAGGCAATCTACATTTAAAGCATCAGATGGACAATGCTTGCCGCCAAAAAGTTCATATGCACAGGCTCATTGTCCTATCAGAGTGAGGACAGTGTCCCTCGGTGCGGCTTATGCCAGGTGGCCCCTGCTGGGGGCTTTCCTGCACAAGTCTTGGACATTTGCTCCTCCTGCCTCATTGCTGGCCCACAAGGCCTTTGGAGCAATCACTGGAGACGGCATTAACCTCCTACTCCCTGCTCCAGGAGGAGTGACCAGGGCTATCTGCCTGTCCTTTGGGAAAGAGAATAGGGCCCAGGGGCCATAAGTGACCCTGTTGCCCACACAACAGCACACAGTGCCTCCTTGGGGGCACGAATGCATAAGCTGCCCCTAGGAACAGGGCTAAGCTGGGGCTTTTCTTTCACATTTGGGGAACCTAGAGAGAAGGAAGTTGGGGCCTCGGGCCTTCTTGAAACAGCCACGGTGGCCGTGTGTCTGTCTCAGCGCTCTCTCCAGGGTCTATAGCCAGGTTATACATGTGTGGTTCACGGACCTGTACAGCAGTTCTTGAGACAGACAAGAAATCCTGACCCCCAGGCAAATCTGGGAGTGCCGGGGCCCACCATAGAGGGAGTCCTGGTACCTCCCACCCAGCGACCCTGATCCCTAAGCTCTCTCCTTCCTCGATTCTTATGCCTCAGCCTGAGGTTTTGCCGGTTCAGCCTCCTTCATGACCTGAAGATGGCCCCTACATCCATGCCTCCCCAGTGGAAGTCTCACTCTGACTGTTCTGTCTTCTTTGCTTTTTCTCTCCTTCCAGGTGATAGCCAATTCTCCAGCCAAGTTAGTATCCAAGGACAGCATGTGTGTGTCCCTGTGTGCCATGCCAGCATGCACCTGCCATCTGTTGGGTGTGGATGGTGTGTGCCTGTCAGCATGTGTACATATGTGCATGTGTGAGTGGGGGTGCATTGTGCCCTGGATGGGCCTGCACGGTGTTTGCTGGAGTAAGGAGGGAAACCATTGCAAGGGATGGGTATCTATGTGATGCTCTCCTTGTGTGGGGGTGCTGCACTGTCTCTGGCCTGTGCGGGTCTGGAGACCTTTCTGTCCCAGGGGGACCCCTGAGAAGGACTACACGTGATTATATCTCTGCTTGGGCATGCATCTACCTGTTAAAGGGAAGAACCTGGATGGTAGAGGTTGGCAAGCTACAGCATGTTGGACTGGGGGCGGGGGTGCAGGTGGGCAGCCTGAGCCATCCTCCAAGGAACAAGTACATGCATGGAAAGATCTGGAAGAACAGAGTCCCAAGCCACAGAGGAATGACCAGCAGGATAAGCCCCTTCGTGGAGAAACTTTGCTAGAAGCTCAGCATCTCCGAGTTTGCCCAGTGTGACCGCTTTTCGCCTTTGGAACGTTCTAGACTCTGCTCATGTGGCTGCCTCTTCTGTGACTTGGCCCAGCTTCTGTCCTCTTCCCAAGCCCCACTCCCCAACACCCTCTCGTGTCCGCTTCTCCATCCTGCTGTGTGCGCTGGGAGTGTGCACCACGCCTGGTACCCTGCCGACTGTGAGACAGGAGTTCAGGCTGAAGTGGAGCCTGAAAGTTTGCTGGCAGAATTGATCGGGGTGGTCACGAACCGTCTTCCGCACAGGGTCTTGGGAGGTGCCAGGAATTGTCCTGGCTACACCCAGGCAGCCCACAGGGGGGAGCTTGAGTAGCTTACTTGGGTCAAGACCTCAGCTTTGGGAGATCTCTCTCCCCATTCCCAGCAGCACCCTAACCTTGATTTCCCATGTAGCCATCATCACCTGTTGCCCTCTCTCCTCCCCTTCCCTCCTCCAACCCCTACCTTTCCCGCCTGCCCTCCTCAGCGCCGACTACCAGGAACGCTTCAACCCCGGTGCCCTGAAGGACTCAGCCCTGTCCACCCACAAACCCATCGAGGTGAAGGGCTTGGGCGGCAAGGCTACCATCATCCACGCACAGTACAACACCCCAATCAGCATGTACTCGCAGGATGCCATCATGGATGCCATTGCTGGGCAGGCCCAGGCCCAGGGCAGTGACTTCAGTGGGTAAGCGCCTCCCAACATCACATGCCTACCTACGAAGGCTACCAGCGCTAACAGGACCAGCTTTCTTCTCTCATCTAGTGCCTCCTGGGTTCAGGCCCCTGGAGGGGGTGGACCAGCCTTCATCAGGGACTTCCAGGAGGCATTGCCCTCTCTCTCTTCAGAGTCTGCCCTGTGTTCAGCCGTAGGAGAGATGCCAAATGCACAATGTTGTGTCTCCTCAAAGGGACTCTCAGACTCGGCATTTCCCGGGATTCATGAGAGGGTCTGGTTGGAGACTTCTGCATTGCTTTTAAAGGAGCACAGGGGACTCCCCGGGGCCTCTCATAACTAAAGCCACCCCGGGGGGTGGAGGAACTGTCTCATTCTTCTAGAGATGGGTATCAATCCAGCACTTGGTGGGTTTGTTATTGGAAGAGGCCTTGGGCCAACTATCCAAGGTACTATTGGCAGTCAACCTCCTGATGGGCACTTCTCCTCTTTGCCCCAGGAAGCCTGGCTTCAGAGTAGCGGGGTTTAACATGTTCTTGGTTCCTGGGATTGGTTTACTAGCTTGGTTGAGGAATTTGAGGGTGGGCTAGGGACAGAGCTGGTAGAAACGTAGATGAAGCTGGTACTGTTCAAGAACATTCTCTCTTCTCCTCACCCCCTTTTCTGTCATGTCTTTCTTTCTTTCTCTGTGTATCCTCTCTCATCTCCTCCCTGGATCTCTGTCTCTTTTCTCCTCTCTATTGTTGTTTCTTGTTTTTATCTGTCTCTCATCTGTTTTCTTACACTGACACACACAGACACACTCATGCATATGCGCACACAGGGTGGGGGGGTGAAGGGAGCAGGTCATTACTTTATGCCTGGGATGGCATGGTGCAGAGCTTACCTCTCTAGGCAACATCTTATCCCTGGATCAGAAATTCCCAGCGACTCAGGAGAAAAAGTCTCAGGGGACATTAAACTCTTTTTCTGAAACTATAAAGGCAGATACTGTAAGAGGGACACAGAAATGTGCCAGGCAGTTTCTACAGGACAAGGACAAGCACTTGTGGTCATAGTGTAGTTGTAGAGGCCAGAGGATAAAGGTTAGCTAGCTTCGTGTCCCTACCTTCGCTCAGAGAGGCACTACTTCCTACCGACCACCAGGGGGCGGAGGTTGTCCATTTTGCAGTCATTAGTCCAAACCTGCAGAGTTCATGACAGCAGTCAGCCCTTTGCAGACATCTGGACTGTGTTGATTTACTTAAGTCATTCATTCAAAGAAAAAGAAAATGACCGTGCAATTTTTTGTAAACAACCATTAGCTCATGTATACTCAGAAAAACAAGTCTGCCTAACTAGGCCCAAAAGTCAATGGGATTTCCTGTTAACATTTGTCACATGGTACCTGTTGTGCCCTTAAAAGAAGTAGTAGTCACCAAAGGAAAGTCAAGTGGGGAAGAATGAATGCATTTTCTGCACACTGGGAAAACTTCTATTATTGGATTTTTGCTATCCGGGCACCTGTGACTTGGAGACTGCGGCGCTCTGTCGATTAATCTAGCTGTCTCCACCTGTTCCTTCCCTTCCCTGCCTCTCCTTCTGCTGGCGTGCCTGGAAAGGATCGACCTTTCCCCTTCCTTTTAACTCAAGCGCGCTGAGCTGACGCTGCTATGGCGCAGTGAGGAACCCTCCTGGCCATAACGCGTTCCGTTTGTGTTGTTAATTTCCACGGTTCTTTCCTCACTGACAGTTTTCTTTTTCTCTCTTTCTTCTTCCTTCACCCATCCCACGCCCCTAACTCATTTCTGGTCCTAACCCTGCTCTCTTGTGTGCGCTCCGCCTCTGCTATCCCATGACGGACGCGCACTCGCACTCGCGGCTGGGTTACCTTCTGCTTGGCAGGGCGTCGCCGCTGGCGTAAGTAGACCCGCAGTGTCTGTCTTGTCATCTGTCTAGTTGCAGGATGGATGGTGTGAGGGCTTGGTGGGATGCGGCTGAGGACAGGTGGTCAGCCCGCGCGCCCCGTCCTCCTTTTCCCTCTCGCATCCACCTCGCAGCCGCTCCACGCCCTCTGCCGCCTACACAGGCAGCTGCTTGTCTTTTGGAGGCCACCCACGTCAATGTGGCTTTTGGAGGCCACCCACGTCAATGTGGCTATGGAAGTCTAGTGCCCAACCTGGGGCTGCATTCCTGCCTTCTCCTGGCCGTGCTTTGGTGAGGTTTTCCCAGTCTTCCCTAGCTTCCCTGGGACCTGGCACTCTTGGGGGTCAGTATGCACACTGGGCTACCATTCCGTGCCGGAAGTGACAAAGCCAAAGGCTGCTCTCTTGGGAAGCCAGTCCCTAGAGCCTGTAAGAACCAAAAAAAGATCTGGTTGTTCCCAAAGACCTCGGGAATGCTTAGAATCTTTCCTATGCAAGAAACGGCTTTCTGTACGAAGAACAAGAATCCAGTCTTTTGGGGTCGAGCAGCCGCAAGCCTCTCCCTGGACGGACTCCAGAGAGCCGATCACAGTCACAATCTGACAATACCTGGCTGTCTTGGGAAGTGGCCCCATCCTTTTTCTGTCTGTGCTTTCCCAGCTCACCCTGAGCAGAACCTAAGGAACCAGTCCTGGGAAACGAGGCCGATTCTATCCAGTTCCTTGTAGAGAAAGTCAAAGACTTGTGCACCAGGGGGAATCCTGTCTTGGCTAGCTAGTCCCCACTGAGGCAGATGGAAGCAGGCAGGAGGGTGCGAGCTAGGACGTGTCCCAACTGGGCTGTGTCTCCATGTGGTCAGAGCATCTAAGCTGTGTAGTCCCTGGTAGGCAGACGTGGCCTTTGAGACTCCAGATCATAAAACACCTGATAGAAAGGACACTGGGCCAGTTGGGAAAGGTGGGACATAATCTCAGCACTCAGGAGAACGGAGCATGCAACACAGCAAGACTCTGCTTCCAAGCGAATAGATAACAGAGAAGAAAAGACTAAGAGTAACAAAAGGGGAAAAAAAGGCCCTGGTCCTCCATCAATGTCGCCCCTGTCCGCCATTGCCTGGCACTAGTCAGCTGACCTCTCTGAACCTCAGTTTCAACATCTGTTAGAGGAAAGGGCTAGCCGGCAGGCTGTTACCGCCATAGGCCCGGGAGGAGCGCTTCCGGCATCTGAGAAGGGTTTCCGGGCAACACAGATCCACAGTCTGATCCAAAAACCTCCAGTCAGGTGTAAATTCCAGCACCCGAGAGATTCTAGGATCTCTGCTGGTTTTGATGTGGAGTTGAAGTTTTCTTTCAGTTAAGAATTGTGAGCACCTACTGTGTGTCAGACCCTGGGAACTTAAGGGAGTGTCTGCAGATTTCCCTCAAAAGACTGTGCTGCTTTGGGGCAGAGACCAGGCCTGCAGCCTGTTCCCAACACCGCCAGCCTCCCTCCCCAGCTATAACCCCCACTGTCCATGCAGTTCATACCAGTGCCCCAGTGCCGAGCAAAATTTCCCGCCTTGTTTCCCATAACACTTCGTAGCCAGGCTGTCTCCTGCAGCTGAGCCAGAAGCCCCAGGAGGCTTCCAGCAACAAGACCTTGGCAGCTCTCTGTCTGGATCTGAGGGTGTGAGGAGGCCGCTGGATGGGTCCTGAGGAGGCCTCCAGGTCCCTCAGGCAGGCGGTTCTCAGCCTTCCCCCTGCAGAGCTGGCTCAGGAAAGCCCTAAGCACTTCAAGGGGGAACTTCCTCCTCCTTCCCTAAAGGGACTCCAGCATGAGGGGTGAGAACTTGTTCAGGCCCAAGGTTAGCACGGGAGTGGGGGCCAGCGGGAAGGACAGAAACCTCATGGGTGAGAAGAACCACCGTCCCCCTGGGCCTTCCCTGACCCCTGAACCCCTGAGCACCGAACCCCCAGGCGTCTCAGCTCTCCTGATAACAGTGGGTGAAAACAGATGAGGGGAGGGGCGCGGTGGTGTGTGTGGGGGGGTCCGCTTCCCAGCCCGGCCTCCACCCACACCCTTTCCTGACCTACAGGAGTCTCCCTGTGAAAGACTTGGCTGTGGATAGCGCCTCTCCGGTGTACCAGGCTGTGATCAAAAACCAAAGCAAGCCAGAAGATGAGGCCGATGAGTGGGCCCGCCGGTCCTCCAACCTGCAGTCCCGCTCCTTCCGCATCCTGGCCCAGATGACAGGGACCGAATACAGTGAGTGGAGGAGTCCAAGTGAGGCGGGCGGGGGGGGGGACGGGACACACGGACACAGAGGGTCCTGACTCCTGCAGGCTTAAAGCCCACAGGAGCTGAGGGGTCAAGCCACCGGACCTTGATGATTAACTAGCGTTGATAGAGAGTCGGTAGCTGGGAAAGAGCCCCTGGGTCCCTAGGCGGGCCTTCCGTTCTAACCCCTAACTCCAAACACAAGCAGAAGCCTTGCCACACAGTTTCCAGCAAGGTGATGGCTCACTGACTGGGAGAGCGGGCGAGCAGGTCTTCCGGGACCACTCCCTCCCAAGTACGCTGTGTCCCCTCAGCGCCTCCTGGCAGAGGCCTGGTGTGCACACTCCCCAGGATCACCACTGACAAGGTGGTGCAGGAAGTGTTGATGGCCCCGCTGACCCCTGGGGGCTTAACTGTCCTCCAAGCTCTGGTGGACTTTCTTCCTGTGTTCACTGGAAGTCTTCCTGACCGGTTCTTTTTCCCACAGTGCAAGACCCTGACGAAGAAGCCCTGCGGAGGTCCAGGTAGGTGCCTAGACTTGGGTTCCATGGCCTTCTAACCTCATCCCTCCCCAGGTAGCCCCCAGGCCACATGACTCATGGAAAGAGCCTTTCAGTGTGTTTATGTATTTGAAAAGCTCAGCCCTTAAAGGACTCCATAGGATGCAGGTTTGGGTGACTTTCCCAGGTCAGTGGGGGTAGACGCAGGTGTAAGGAACCTAGGCCCTCCTGGCTCCCTTCCTGGGCAGGGGCAGGGCTGCTTTGGCCTTCGCTGGGCTTTGGAGAATGAGGGCATCTCTCCTAAGGGCAGTGAGCCAATGCCTGGCCTGCACACTCATCCTTGGGCCCGCCCCCTGGTGAGTCTGAAGGCTAGGCACTATGAGCAGGCATGCAGAGGGCCATGCTAAGCGCGCATACCTGACCCCTAGATTCACCGGCCTGTGGGTACACTGAGGCACCAGTTGTATAAATCGCTCAAGGTGTAGCAGCTGCTGCAGGGAAGTACAAGCCCTTGGTACAAGGAGGGGCTTGTATAGGGCTAGGCATCTCAGGGCATGGTCTCCTGGTTAGTGGCAAGTCTGGGGTCATCACCACTTGCCTACTGCCTGTGCCCTGTCAGGAGCTGTAGCCCTGGGCATGAATGGGGCATGGCTGTTTTGAAACCCACTGGGTCCTGGCAGGGCCTTCCATGGTGAGGCATGGGGCCTGTGTGATTCTCTGTCTGCTTCTGGTAGTGAGGATGTCATCTGCATGTTCTTCTTGGACAGTCTGTCTGGGGTCAGTGAGACCTGTGATGGCCTCTCTGGGAGGGTCTGGGACTCCAAAGCGTGTTCTACCCTGAGCTAAGCTTTCTGTACTTGCTAACCACACATGGAGGCCACAGAACTGGAGAAGAGTAGGGTTCTGGGGCCAGCCGGGACTCCGTGTGCATTTGATTGTTGGACTTGTATTTTTGCCAGCCCGAGCTGCCCCCACTTTTTGGCTGGGAGTGCTCCTCCCAGCCCTGCTCAGGGTGGTGTGTAGTCCCGGAAATGTGTTTAACCTCTTAGCTCCTCCGTGCACCAAGCAGCGCCAGCTACGATGCTGCTGTGTCTAGCTCAGATGTGGAGAGCCAGCTGAGGAGAGCCAGCTGAGGAGAGCCAGCTGAGGAGAGCCAGCTGAGGAGAGCCAGCTGAGGAGAGCCAGCTGTTTTATGTGTGCTGAGGCCTCAGCTCTCCGTTCCTCCTGTGCTCTGCCGTCCCTCCACGCTGTTTCTGTGCTTTTCCCACCCTCTTCATTGAAACCACCCACAGAGATGTCCCAGGGAGCAAGGAAGATTTTACCCAAGACTCCATAGAGGGGTCTTTGTGTCCCCTCTCTGACACAGTAAACAGCTTACACCCTGAGTTCTTTCCCTCAGGAAGTCAACTGGAGGCTATTTTCTCCCCCTCTGCAAGGCACAGCATCCTTCCTTCATGGCCTCTGTCACCTCTTCTGGTCACTTTATGCTCTTCTTCTGTCTAATATGCATACTAGTCATGCCAAGCTTATGCCTCATTGTCATCCATTCATGCTTAGAAGGAAAAGGGTCCCTGTAGAAGGAGGGTGGATCTGTTCCCTGGAACATTAGCACTGCCATGGAGTTTCCTCAGAAGAAAATCTGGCAAGAGGTTCCCAAGAAGAGACTTTCTTTAGCCTGCTTCCTTCCTCAGCCCCAGACATCCCTCCCAGGGTTCCAGGTCCTTCAGCGAAGATTGAGGTTTCAGCAGACCCCTCCCCTGCCCCAGCGCAGAACCAGAGGGTACAAGCCTCTTGATTCTGTCTCTCTTTTTCCCTGACTTTAGTTTGTTGAGGGATGCCCTCATAGGCAGAGGCTTCCATGTCTCCAATTCCCAGCAGCCCAGGGCTCTTGGTTAGAGGCCCTGCATGCCCAGGTTCCATTATGCCCAGGAGTGAAGTGCCAAGTTAAGTCTGCAGCCCCTGGGGCCCTGGGCTCACTCACTCACTAAGTGAGCACGTTTGTCCCTCATGTACTGCCTTCAGACTGCTGAGGGGACTTGCTTCTCGGTGGTCAGAGCCACACCCTGACTCCAGAGTTAGACTAGGCTGAGCTCCGGGGCCAGCTGATCCATCCTGTGGGCTGACGGCAGCTCCCTTGGCCTCCCACGCTGGCCCCCAGTATTCTGGCATGCTGGCAAGTCTGAAAGCCACAGCTGGAGACACTGGGAAGTCCGAGCACCACAGTCTAAGCGCACCCGGGAGGCCTCCGCCCAGTCTTCTGCTCCCCCCTCAGTCTCCCGCCTCAGTGGCCTCAGTGCATGCCTCTTCTTGCCCTCTCTTTGGCTAACCAGGAATTTCCCCACCGTATCAAACAGAGCAAGTTCCCTAGATTCATAGAGGTTCTAGAATTGTCCTTCACTTTGTCACTGAGCACGGATGACAAACTGTCGTTGAGCCTCAGTAAACTAGAAACTCACTGGCAACTGGCCACATCTCATTAGGCACCTCCCTGGTCTCGATGAGATGGCCGTGAGTGCTTGCACCTCCCTGGTCTCGATGAGATGGCCGTGAGTGCTTGCAGGACTGTGAGGCTCTGCTCCTCCTTCACCCACTCACCCTAACCCTAGGGAGGTGGGTACATGGCAGGCGAAATGGCTCAGCACTTAGACGGTAGTTTCACCGTTGAACTTCTGTGCAGATTTGAACTACTTGTGTGGACATCTCTGAGCCTCTTGGTTTAATGCAAAGGTCAGATCAGACCAGCGTTTTACAACTATGTTAGCAACCAGCAGCTCCCACCTTTATGCAACAATGTTACAGAGTTCCACCGTGCTGGGTTCAGGGAGCAGGGTGAGAGTGTGCCAGGCCACGCAAGGGGGAAAGTGGACCTCTGTGAGCACAGCGGTGTGGAGATGGAAGGATAATGACCTGAAGATCGTGACTGTGCATGACTGTAAGACCAGCGGTGCCTGACATCAGTCTCTCTGGTTCATGCAGGCTGGCGGCTCGTTTTTAAATTGGACTTTTCATTTGGAGATAACTGCCAAGTTACTTGCAGTTGTAAGAAATAACAGAGATGCCGGGCAGGGGTGGCATGTGCCTTGAATCCCAGCACTCAGGAGGCAGAGGCTGGTGGATCTCTGAGCTCAACACCAGCCTGGTCCATAGAGTGAGTTCCAATATAGCTAGAGCTACACAGAGAAACCCTGTCTAAAATAAAAACAAACAACGGAAGGAAGGAAGGAAGGAAGGAAGGAAGGAAGGAAGGAAGGAAGGAAGGAAGGAAGGAAGGAAGGAAGGAAGGAGAGATTCCTTGCCTTTTCCCCATTTCCATTTCCACTGACAAACTCTTATATCATAGCACAATGTCACACTGATAATGATGACATCACTTCAATCCCAAACACAGACTGTCCCACGCCTAAGACTGTTCTGCATGTCTCCATATAGCCACACACACATAAACCCTGCCCACCCCCCTTACCAATGACCAGCAATGGAATCATACAGTATACGACCATTTCAGGGCTGGCTTTTTCTACTAGCAGAATTCCTTTGGACTTTATCTAAGTTGTTGAGTGAACCAGTACAGATTCACACATACTGTCCTTAACCACCCCACACACACCCTGATTCCAAAATCCAAAGTGCCCCAAACCCAAATCTTTTCTGAGCCCCATGAACACCAAAGGTGGAAAATTTTACCTTTGACCTCATAAAACAGATTCTAAGCCAGGTGTGGCGGTACACGCTTTTAATCCCAGCACTTGGGGAAGCAGAGGCAGGAGGATCTCTGTGAGTTCAAGGCCAGCCTGCTCTACATAGAGCTCCAGAGCAGCTACAAAGAGAGAAACCAGAAACAATAGACACAGATACCAGGCTTGGGCGTAGCTCAGTGGCAGACGGCTTGTCTACATGCATGAGATCCTGGGTGCAATCTTCAGGACAAGAGCAGTAGTGTGAGCAAAATATGGGTCTCATAAAAATATTGCATTCAAGTTGTGTAGAAAGTGCTTACGCCACATAAATGAATGTTATGTCAGGTCCCCGAGATATAATATTTGCAAATATTCCAAAATTATCCAAAATTCAAAACAGTTCTGCCCCTTGCATTTTGGATCAAGGTTACTCAGCCTGTAGGTCATTTGTTCCTTTTGACTGTTGAGTAGTATCCCATGATGTGGACATACCAGTTAGATTTTGATTTTGATTTAGTTAGTACATATTCACAGTGCTACCTCTGGACGACGATGCCGGCACTACATTTTTTTTAAACTGTGTCTCTGTTCAGGTTGAGTGCACTGAGTTTATGGTTAGATGTGGTCCCTGCCACAGCACCTGGGTTATGGAGGTATTAGAGGCCCTTCTCCCAGGAGGGTTGGGATCCCGGCATCATCGGCTGGCCTTTCCTGCCACGCCCTCTTCCTTTTCTACATTCTGGCCACTGGGTGTCTGCACTGCACCCTCACCTGGGCCTCTCAGAGGTCCCACTGACAGGAGATAGCGGGTCCTGCTCCTCTGTACCTTCGGCGGCAGCGAGTATGCGTGTGTGCTTGTGAACTGGGGTAGGCCTGGGCTAGTCTCAGGCCTGGGCCTGCAGGAACCCTGGGTAGCGTGTGAAGGCTTCTTTCTGGAGATGGTGAAGGTGGAGAATGCCAGGCAGTACAGGGAGGTGACAGGACTAATGACCAGTCCTCATCATAGAAGTTAAGTGTCCCTTCTTGGTGCCCAGCTAGAGGACAGAGACTGCCTGCCTGTTTCGTTCAGTTCCAAGAGGCCCACAGCCAAAGCAGCTCTGCCCAGCCACAGCCACATGGGCCAGGGAGCCCGCCTCCCTTTGCCCACTCTGCCCATTGGCCCTCTAACCAGGCCCCTATTCTATACGTCTCCTTTCAAGCCAAGGCAGGGACCTCAGTCCCTCCATTGTGTCCCAGGACTCTTGCCCCGTCCAACCCAAGCCTGCCCTCTGGAGAGTAAGTACCCCAAGGATGGCATTGTTCATCCCACCCCAGCTTCAGGCAGGGATATAGTGGACATGTCCCCTA